GGATAGGGAGGGTTACCGGGTTAGCTGACCATCCCCATTCACAATCCTGTCCCTTTGTCTCCAGCATTCCAGCCTCACAGACTGATTGACTTGTCAGGCCCTCACCCCCACAGACTGATTGATTTATCAGGCCCTCACCCCCACAGACTGATTGACTTATCAGGCCCTCACCCCCACAGACTGATTGACTTATCAGGCCCTCACCCCCACAGACTGATTGACTTATCAGGCCCTCACCCCCCACAGACTGATTGACTTATCAGGCCCTCACCCCCCTAAGACTGATTGACTTATCAGGCCCTCACCCCCATAGACTGATTGACTTATCAGGCCTTCATCTCAGACTGATTGACTTACCAGGCCCTCACCCCCCACAGACTGATTGACTTATCAGGCCCTCAGCCCCCACAGGCTGATTGACTTATCAGGCCCACACCCCCACAGACTGATTGACTAATCAGGCCCTCACCCCCACAGACTGATTGACTTATCAGGCCCTCACCCCCACAGACTGATTGACTTATCAGGCCCTCACCCCCACAGACTGATTGACTTATCAGGCCCTCACCCCCCACAGACTGATTGACTTATCAGAAATTCCTGTATCGTTTAATCCTCAAGTAGTCTTACAATAGATATCAATATATTTTCTAAAATGTTCACTCCTTCCCAACCCGTGTTGGTTCAGGACATATTACATGGAACAAGTGGGGTGGGGGTTTGGGGGAAGGGGCGATGTATCCATCAGGCACACTGAGGGACGTTCCCAGGATAGTTGTGTTGATGGGGATGAGTATGACTAAGTCAGTGTTTCGCACACCCTATACTTATATCTGGGGCATTATCTTGCATGCTTTAGTAGACCCCTGTAGGCCTTCAGTGTATTCTGGAGAGATTCTATGCCCTCTGTACCATGAAAGGATCTATACATGTTATCTTTAGATACCAAAATATTCCGCTTTGTTAGATTTGTAGTGGTAGAAAAATCTTCTGAATAATGTTTTCCAATAGATTTCTGGATTTAAAAGATGTCTCATATTGGCTTTAGCTTTGTTATGAAAGATGTAATTGCATGTGTGTGACAGTATATTGCATCACAACATGTCATCCTTGTATCCTGGTGTGTACTGCATCGTAACGTGTCTCGGTCAGTGATGCAGACTAATCCTTGTATCCCGGTGTGTACTGCATTGTAACATGTCTCTCAGGCAATAATGCAGGGGGATCCTTGTATCCCAGTGTGTATTGCATTGTAACATGTGTCTCAGGCAATAATGCAGGGGGATCCTTGTATCCCAGTGTGTACTGCATTGTAACATGTCTCTCAGGCAATAATGCAGGGGGATCCTTGTATCCCAGTGTGTACTGCATTGTAACATGTGTCTCGGTCTATAATGCAGGGGGATCCTTGTATTCCAGTGTGTATTGCATTGTAACATGTCTCTCAGACAATAATGCAGACTGATCCTTGTATCCCGGTGTGTACTGCATTGTAACATGTCTCTCAGGCAATAATGCAGGGGGATCCTTGTATCCCAGTGTGTATTGCATTGTAACATGTGTCTCGGTCTATAATGCAGGGGGATCCTTGTATTCCAGTGTGTACTGCATTGTAACATGTCTCTCAGGCAATAATGCAGGGGGATCCTTGTATCCCAGTGTGTACTGCATTGTAACATGTCTCTCAGGCAATAATGCAGGGGAATCCTTGTATCCTGGTGTGAATTGCACTGTAACATGTCTGTCAGGCAATAATGCAGGGGGATCCTTGTATCCCAGTGTGTATTGCATTGTAACATGTCTCTCAGGCAATAATGCAGGGGGATCCTTTTATCCCGGTGTGTACTGCATCGTAACATGTGTCTCGGTCAGTGATGCAGACTGATCCTTGTATCCTGGTGTGTACTGCATCGTAACATGTGTCTCGGTCAGTGATGCAGACTGATCCTTATATCCCGGTGTGTACTGCATCGTAACATGTGTCTCGGTCAGTGATGCAGAGTGATCCTTGTATCCCAGTGTGTACTGCATCGTAACATGTGTCTCGGTCAGTGATGCAGAGTGATCCTTATATCCCGGTGTGTACTGCATCGTAACATGTGTCACGGTCAGTGATGCAGACTGATCCTTATATCCCGGTGTGTACTGCATCGTAACATGTGTCTCGGTCAGTGATTCAGAGTGATCCTTGTATCCCGGTGTGTATTGCATCGTAACATGTGTCTCAGTCTATAATGCAGACTGATCCTTGTATCCCGGTGTGTACTGCATCGTAATATGTGTCTCGGTCAGTGATGCAGACTAATCCTTGTATCCCGGTGTGTACTGCATCGTAACATGTGTATCGGTCAGTGATGCAGACTAATCCTTGTATCCCGGTGTGTATTGCATTGTAACATGTGTCTCGGTCAGTGATGCAGAGTGATCCTTGAATCACAATGGCTATTGCATCACAATGTGTGTACCTCAGCCAGTAATGCATTGTGACCCTTGTGTCACAGGGTGTATTGCATCACAACCCTTATAGCCTAGTGACCCACATACTAGTGAATTAGATGTTTGATAAGGATTATTAAGCCGTAGATGAGATGAAGTTCACGATGTAGGCAATGGTATTGATGCTGTAGTTGATAATGTAGGCAATGTTATTGATGCTGTAGTTGATGATGTAGGCAATGATATTGACGCTGTAGTTGACGATGTAGGCAATGATATTGATGCTGTAGTTGACGATGTAGGCAATGATATTGATGCTGTAGTTGACGATGTAGGCAATGATATTGATGCTGTAGTTGACGATGTAGGCAATGGTATTGATGCTGTAGTTGATGATGCAGGCAATGATATTGATGCTGTAGTTGATGATAATGATGATGATGATGTTGATGCAGGTAATGTCATCGATGATGATGATGATGCAGGTAATGTCATTGATGATGATCATGATGCAGGTAATGTCATTGATGATGATCATGATGATGATGTAGTAGATACTGTTGATATCACAATTATCTGGGAGACAATCATACAGTATAATAACATACCCTACTCAGATGATTGTTTGATGAATAAGCAATTTTCATTATTAGGACCATATTCATCTGATACCTTTGTAAATATTTTTTATCAGCCACTGAGACAAAGTGCCAAGTTCCTGTGCACCAGATCACATAACACAGGCCATGACACGACCTATCTCTCATAATACAGTATAGCTTAATGCTCCTCTTCTTAGAGAAAGACTATTTTAATACTTCTCTGGACTGAATGGAGATAAACTTTCCCACGGCTTTGTATAGGTAACTGGAAGAAAGAGATTCACTGTGTACCTTGTAAGGATGACTTGCTTCATCGCCAGTGCCTCATCTGTCAGCTACACGTTTGTATATCGTCTGCACTCTAAACAGAGGCCTTTTGGAATTTCCACCATTTTGATTAGACAGTTATATGATCATGAGAAGACTGGAGTAATAGTAAGGGCGATTAAGGGTGTTCCAGGGACTTAAACACTCAATTAATATTGGACTTGACAGTGTCTCTATGTCATTGAGGAGTTAAGTGTTTGATAATGTTTGGTGACACTGTGAGTTAATAGCTCACCTGGACTGGGGGTCCTGAGCGTTCATTGTGTTGTATGCTGCTTCATCAAACAATGTTTGAGTTGAACGTTTTATTTCTTTCAACACCACAGGTTCTGAAATGTCTGAATGATCACAGAAATAGTTCCATTGGCGTGGTTTTGTTTATGTCAGATTTTCAAATAGTTTACAGTTATGAGGCTTCACCTTGTGAGAAGGCAGGAGCAGAATGATTAACAGTGAGGCCTCACCTAGTGGGATGCAAGGCAGGAAGGGGCCGTTAGCTGTTGTAAAGGGACAAAACCCTGCATGGGTGGTTGCTATTGTTTGGAATGGATTACTCTATAAGACAACAGTTTTGAGACCTTATCTTTGAGGTATAAGGGAAAGAACAGGGCATGGGTATCTTTTTTGTGTATGAGGTCCATTGGATGGCATTTGGTAGTCACAAAGGCTGTTCAGTGGGGATTCTGCCCATCGTTTTAGGGCAGATATTCCCCTCGTACTCTGTGCTTGTCATGTGTAAAATGTGGATTAGTTGGTTACTTGACTGATTGTGTGTCCTCTTAGTTGATGACAAGAATTGTTGCCGATATTATCAACCACTGGTTTGCCTAACCATGTCATGAGTCTTGACTGCTTAGTAAATCAATATTTACTCACTTGCAATAGCTGGTTTTAGGATGGGTAGCTACTCGGCAACATCTCTGCTATTTCCAGCTATCTCAGTTGTCACGTCATACTGGAACGGCCAAGGGTGAAATGTTACAAACACATCCACAAGTGTGCCCAGACATCATCATTATTCAGCAAGAGCTGAGGAAAATAAGTCCTGGTTTTACCAGTTATGACTGTTTGTCTTCTCCAAGAGGATTAATATGGTATGCAAGATGGGCACAATGTGATCTTGCCACCTACAGTGTACAACCATCTTCACTCAGTCATTCATCAGCTTCACAATCTGCAAGGTTTCAGATCATTTTATTGTCTTGGACATTGACTGTCATCCAAATGTCCTGACTGTTTGTTTCAAATTAGGTAATGATACAGAAGAAGCTGATAAAATCATGAAAATGTCCTAATGCTGTTTGTCTTCAGCAATATTGCTTCATTCATGGTCCCTGCGTAAAAGAGTTGCTGCTCAGCATGCCTTAAGTCAAATGCTGCCCAGCAGGCTGAAAATCATTCCTCCCCAGCAGGCTGAAAATCATCGCTGCTCAGTCTTTAAACAGTTTATTACTATACAATTTTTATATTAGGCCCCATCCAGAAGTACTTTATTCCTTGTTGCAGGCTATTTGCCATCATATGTATCTTTGATGTTTAAAAAGAAAAGGTAAAATGTGAAACACTCAATAAAAATGTTTCAATGTCCATTGGTGCCAACCAAGTGCTATCAGTGACTGTGATTCTCTGTTGCAGATGATGAGGAAGATCTGACCTTGACTGAGGATCAGGTAGTGGATGGTCGGATTGCAGTCAGCGAGGCACAGGTCGTGGACTCGGGGCAGGTCATGTCAGAGGTCATACATATTCAGCGCCAGGAGGAAGAGATGGAGGAGTCTGAGATGGAGTCCGAGGGGATCATGACGATGGCAGAATGACCCACTGAATCTTAGAAGAATTGAGGCTCAGAACATGTTCATGATCATGACAGAAAGAGACATTAGCATCAGAATGTCTGAATCTGTCTCTCTTTGAACACAGCAGAGTAACCAGGAAGCTATGAATATGATTGTGCAACAGTTAGTATATGAACCAATTCTGACACTGTTTGTGGCTTTGACATTTCCATGTTCTCCAGAGATCCACTTCTCTTGTGAAGTGTCACAAACTTGCCAGAATGAGCCTATGGTGCTATCACATTTATGACAATAATATCTGCCGATCTACTTAGAAAACTCATGGACATTTGCACTTTCAAGGAGAAAGAACTTGGTGTCTCAGATATTCTTTGATCCTGCAGAGGTCACTGACAACTTCAGGAGCTAATGATCGAGGTGACACCACCACAGAGTACTTCAGGAGCTTATGATCCTGTTGGAGTCACTGACGGTTTCAGGAGCTTATGATCCTGGTGGTGCCACCACTGACAACTTCAGGAGCTAATGATCCTGTTGGTGTCAGGAAAGAATTCAGTATTCTATGATGTTCATTGTTCATCAGAAGCATTTAAGTATTACATTGTTCTGGATAAGACCCTAGACAGACCAGTGGTTCAAGAATTCTCACACACTAGAACCCTGGATAGTGGGGAGATTCATAACATGCTTTGTTTTACTGACTAGTCACCCTGAAATGATAGTCTGAACCACAGGATAGTTAGAAATATTGCTATGTCTAGATGATGTCCTTCTTGACCACTCTGTCAGCGCAGATCAGTCATCCTCATTAGTTGGTGCTACAAGACAGCATAATGGCTACAATGTTCTGCAGGATTTACAGGACAGTTATGTGCTTTTGATGTCTCCTTGTACCAGTGATGGGTGCAGTTACCATGATTCCCATTAGCATCCTCGCTTTGATACTTTGTAAAATGTCACTTATGTCACAGTCTGTAACTTTCAGCTCAGCTAGTTATAGCCACTATAGTAGAACAATTTTTGGTGAAAATATTGCCAAAAGACACATTACATCACATGAATGAAAACGTGTGGAAAAGGTCCAAACATATGAAGCAACAGTACAATAACAAGTCAAAAGTTTGCTTTTTAATGTCAGTGTGTCTGAACATCATGTCCTGTGTTATCAACTCTTCTGGAAAAGCATCCTGCCAAGAGATAAACAATTTTATGTTCATTATTGAACAACATTCAAAATAAAAGAGGAATGTTTGTATCCCCACACACCATGGGTATGTGCATCACATCAGATCAGCCACTAAGTATTCTTTGTGAAGCAGACCCTAGCTCTGTGTCAGCCAAATATTTGTATACACTACTCAAAAAATGTTATGGACCACCTGATTATTTCATTCTACTATAGTTAATCAGTCATGGCAGATGGTCCTTAATCCCCTTGAAGCTTCTGGGTAGAATGAGTCTTCAGCAATCCATGCTTGCAGTAAAAGGTGACTGACGGGATCGCTGACTTGGTTGATGCATGTCATTGTATCCCAATTGCGTGGATTGATGCCCATGACATCAATCACTGGATTGTCTAGTCCAGTCTCGATTATTTACAGAAATAATGCTAAGTGAAGCATGAAACAACAAAGGAACAAACAAAGATGGTTCTTAACTGTTTTTAAATAGTATACATGCATGCAAAATAACTTGTGCTGATGGTGACATTTGATGATATTTATACATTAATTTTTTATATTGGATGCTTGAATCTGTTTGAGAGATACCTGCATTTCCATATACATTCCAACTGTCTATATGTCTTTGTCATCACAGCAATGTTGTAATAGGGGTATACATGATTTACTGAAGGTTTGATCGTACCCTTGTGCCATGGTAGAATTCTGAAAGTTTGATGCATCATGATACTTTATGCCACGGTGTGAGTCTCAAGGTTGATGCAATGTGATATGAATTTGGTAATTATGTTTTGGTATGGCTTCCAACCATGTCAGGAAGAAATAATGGTGCTTATCATAACACGTGTCAACTTTTGATATATCATTTCACTACACTTGCTTTAAACACACACATCGAGTACATCATTATAGTCCTATGTTTTAATTCATTCTCATGATATGAGCATACCATAGAATTCAGTATACAGAAGGAAGTCGACCATTCATCTAATGTATACAAATGAAATATAAGAAGTCAGTCTTAACAACAACAACAACAACATCAGAACAAACGGTTGACAGAATCCAGAAAATGGGGCATCCATCTTGACCTGTTTGGTTCTGCCGCAAGCCTGGATGTCTTCAATAACTATATTTTCTTCTGTTTATGAAACATGGATTCTCATTGAAGTCCAGTGATCTTGTGTTACCTATTTCCTGGAATCAAGGAAGGGCATCATCTTCTTCACAATAGAATCTCTTTTGTCAGCCAGGATTATGGAGGTACGGCTCATGCTTCAACTGAAGGTTCTATACACCGGTCATCACAAAGCAGGACTTTTGTATGGTGATGTTATCATTTATACACTCTCACATCAGGGGCCAGAGACTTCAGGTCATTATCACAAGCTGTGGATTTGCCCCTAGAATAATAGGAAGAATGCATGTGGTGGTTACACCACCCTGGGGCAAGTAGGGCTGGAGACAGGTTCTTCCGTATGACAGACCTTCAATAACATCAACATGCCTCCTTCATTACCAGACACTTCTGTAGGCAGGAATTCTATACGTCAAACATGTTTTATGTCTGCATGAATTTTGATGATATTACCACCGAGTCCATTAACTTACTTTAATGTCGACATGATTTTGTGATGGTTCTATCACGCAGGACTGTCAATGACTGGAAAATGTATTGATATGTGAAATGGCATGGATAATGATACATTGATACATTGGTGATACTGGTTCTTTCATGTTGATTTTGTGGAAGTAATATCAGGAATGTCATTGGGTGGAGATTTCTGTATTGACATGGAATTAACAAAATTAATGATATGACAATTCACATGTTATGCAGACATTTCAAAATGTGCTCAATAATGTTTTGTGAATGAATTGCCAACAATGTAATTTATGTTGATATTATCTGTTAGTTGTTTGTCTTCACAGAGACCATCGTCTATAAGAGGCATTTCATGATTTATCATTACTATCATCAGTGACAGTCTTCCTGCAGAATCATTCTTGAAAGCATCAAATACATTAATGCTTAGTCTTGCTTATCACCATTGAGCCCATTTGTAAATACTTCACATGCCATGTACATACTAAAACAGAGACCAGTGAAGATTCGGGGTAGAATAGGTCGTCACCAACCCATTCTTGCTGTAAAAAACGACTGCTTGTCTTAAGAGGCGACTAACGGGATCGGGTGGTCAGACTCACTGACTTGGTTGATGCAAGTCATTGATCCCAATTGCATGCATTGATGCTCATGATGTCAATCCCTGGATTGTCTGGTCAAGACATGGGTATTTACAGACCGCCATCATATAGATGGAATATTGCTGAATGGGGCGTTAAACAACAAACAAACAAACTAAAACAGATTAGATGGTCACAGTGGCAGGTAAGTAGATGTGACATGGATGTAACATGTAACACAAGGTAGGATGAACTGTCTGCTCTGGATGTTGTCCTTGATTCCCTTGTACCCCTGATTCATGGTTTCTCTGGTCCAGTCTTGATTACTTTCACTGTGATATAGTTGTGACGTTTCTGAGCATGGCATGAAGTAATATTCACTTACTGGTACTACAGAAACTACTGAAGCAATCAGTACTATAATTTCATCAGGCATATTTGTAAATACTTCACATTGTACATACATTATTTATAATAATCTCAACTCAAGATGATCAGTGCTGTGAACTTTGAAAATGAGGCATACGGATCCCTTAGGATGTATGTCTGGTTGGAGCTGTAACCCTTAGTGTGACCTGCTGAGTAGCTGGTGTTCCTTGTCCAAGAGTGCATCCGTTGCCAAGTTGTCTGAAGCACTGGGATGTGCTGTGCACATCCTCTTTGACCATGATTCTTGCATCTGTCAGCACCATACCTGTGTGGTAAATGTCTAAGGCCTGCATCATCAGGGTTTCCTCCCACATTAAGTTGACAGGCTGTGTTGACACAGAAATATTGTTCAAAATGCAAATAACTGCAGATTCCCTTTTTTAATCCATCACATGACGTTTCTTGAATTAGCATGATCATTTGAGGCCAGAAAATACATCATATTTTAACTGCTAGTCTTTCACTCAAAGCAGGGCACAGTGGCATTCCATCTCAGTGTACAGAGTTGTACCTCTGGCTACCACGAGCTTCTGGCCATGAGTTCAAATCCCATTTATGGTCCATGGTCTGTCGGCACCGATGCCTTGGAAGCTTCGTCATGGTGTTAAAACTGTATGACCTGCATCATAGCAACATGCTGGAATTACTAAGATGCTTACCCCAACTCACTCCTTGTCATCGGTTACAGCAATGGTGGTCTTGCTTGTGTTGATTGTACATATGATTGTTCCAACTGACTGTTATTCTTTGTTATACAGTTTAAATTATGAATAAATTTGAAGAATTATATCATGATTTTCTTTTCATTCATCAAATTAGATTCTGAACGTTCAAGGAAATATACACATGATTTCTGATTTCATGATCAGCACAACATGCCTGTTGTAACAGGCAACTAAAATTGTGATGAGTAGTCAGGCTGTGTGTGTGTGTGTGTGTTTTTCTGTGTCTGTGTCTGGAGAGGGGTAGATTGTGTGTCATTATTTTGTTTGTTGTTTTATACTGCACTCAGCAATATTCAAGCTATATGATAGAGGCTTGTAAAGAATCAAGTATGGACCAGACAATGCAGTGAACGTGAGGAATGATCCAAGTCGTTGACATGCCATTCCCTAGCCTGGCCACCCGATCCAGTAAGTCAACTACTACAAGAAGGAGGCGCTGGCAGGTAGTCTAGTGGTTTAAGTGTTCGCTCGTCACACTGAAGATCTGGGTTCGATTCCGACAAGGGTACAATGTGTGAAGCCCATTTCTTGTGTCACCTGCCATGATATTGCTGTAATATTGCTAAAAGCAGCGTAAACCCATACTCATTCATTCACTCACTCACTCTACAAGAAGGCTAGGCTGCTTGCTACCAAGTCTAACCTGGAATTGCCAAGGGTGTATGTCAATGTACTGATGGCGCTCATAGTTACTCCTGACTGTCTCCGTGGTCTTGTGGTAAAGCGTCGTCCAGAGAGCGGAAGGTCGGGGTTCGATCCGGCCTCGTCATACCAAAAGACGTTAAAAGATGGTACTTGTTGTTACCCTGTCTGGCGCTCGGCATAAAGGGGCTAAAACAAGCACTGGTCGGCTCTGAGTCAGTATACTGTGTCTGAGTGGGGTATTCGTGTTAAACTGCAGCATCTCAGTGAGCTGGCACTATAAATCGGCATTAGTCGGGACTAGTACAAGCAGCCACACACACACACACACACACACACACACACACACACGTGCATGCACGTCGCTATATAAGTGCAACGATCTTAGAAGCGACGTTAAACCCAGTTTCACCTCACCTCATAGTTACTCCTACAGTAAGTCTCTGGTTTGTCTGGATTACACAGAGGCAGCTGTGATAGAGCTGGAATATAGCTTCCTGTAGCCTTGACAAACATCCACGCACTCACTTTACAACTTCGGCTTTTATCCAACACATTTCCTAATAAAATATTTAGTCAGAAACTATTCAACTGTGCACCCATTTCACTATCTGCAGCACATTTCCTAATAAAATATTTAGCTTGGAACTATTCACCTGTGCACCCGTTTCATTATCTACAGGACAGATTCCCTTTTTAATCCATCACATGACGTTTCTTGAATTAGCATGATCATTTGAGGCCAGAAAATAAATCATATTTTTGAATAAACTTCAATATACTTGACGCAGTGTGTGGTGATGTTTATAGTATTGTGTGGGGAACAAAATTATTATGTATTTTTTTAATTGTCTCTATCGGGACTTTCTTGGTTCAAGGCCAAGAAGGTAGACACTTTTGAAGGCTCCCACTTTTTAACTATACCCCTCCAAAATGTAATAAACACAACTTTTCTAACGTCTATGAGAGTAGGACACAACATATATGTATAAATATATGGTTCATTGTTCATTATCATTTGGGTAAGGGCGTTAGCTGTATCTTCATTTTCACACACGGGTTGAGACAACTTTTTTCAATGGGTGATGTATTTGGTTGTGATCACACCTGTTCTGTTCTCGGGTAAGAAATATGTCCCTAGCAAGCTATGCTGGTCGTAAGAGGCAACTTAATAGATGAGGTGGTCAGGCTCGCTGACTTTGTTGATGATGCTTCAATGTACCCAAACAGCGTGGATCATTGCTGATAATATCAAACACTGGATTGCCTGGCCAAGTCTCAATAATTTACAACTGTCTGTCGTACAGCTGCAATATTGCTTGAACAACAAACACACACTGACTGGAATGTGCTACCTTGATTGTGCCAGGATCCGCTGATCATAGTTTGAGTTAGTGAGTTGGGTTTAACGCCGCTTTTAACAGTATTCCAGTTATATCACGGCGTGTCAGCTGAATGTGGGAGGAAAGCCCGAAGTGATGCAGGTCTCAGACGTTTACAACTTCGGTGAAACCCACGAGCACGGGTGTGGTGCTGACAAACCTAGAAACATAATCGGGACGAATCGGGATTCGAACCCACAATCATAGGTTTCTGTCATGCCCAAGGGACGCAACTCTGCACAGCGAATCGCGGCGCCTTAGACGACTGGGCCACCCGTGCCCTCTCATAGTTTGAAGTCACAGTCTATTTGATTTCTCACTAACTCATGCTCGTAGGTAACCCAAGTTTTATCACCTGCCCTACCTTGGGCTTTTCTCCCACATAAAACTGTCACTAAACTACAGTTCAAATAGTCTTTGAATTTAACTATTCACTCAACCCCATACATATTGATTGACCTTTACATGGAGGACCATGGGCTATAGAAACTAAACTTTTGACAACAAAACTAATAACCATATGCTTGCTGTTTTGGCCTTAAAATGTCAACACTCCTGCACAATATAGTGTTGGGAACACATGCACTTTGTAAAGCATGCCACTCAATGTTTGCTGGGGTTACTGCGTAGGCAGGGAAACCTCAACCGAAGCTGGGAAAAATTAATATCACTAAGGGTGGACGCATGTCATTATCTGTGAGCCTGACTTCAACCAATGTCAAATTCAAACTACCAGAAATGTCAACTTCTTTTGATATCTACATAAATCAGGATGGTATTCCAAGCTTGTCTGTATTGAATTGTCCGCCTTCAGTAAGGACAGTGGCAGTGAATTATCAACATATCCCCTGTCTTGGTCAGATGGATCTTTACTATACCGACCATGTGCTTACTTAGCCGTGTAATCTAAGCACCCTTTGCAGAAGTGGAAATGTGCATTTAGCTTTCAAATCCAGGACTAGCACAAGGGTGCATGCTAAGCCCTCGTTTATTGTTGTTAACCACTGAATATTTTACACTTGGTGTCTTTAACGACCCTAGATAAGCCTTTCATCTCATGTTAACAATAGAAACAAATCTTTCAATCCAGATCCAATTGTCGAGCATGTATTGTTCATTGTAACATGCGTGTCAAAACTCGTGTATATAATTTACACACTATTTAATCAGAAATACTGATTTGCTGTCTTGGTCAAAAGCCTGTTGGTATGGGAAGAGGTCAACAGTAGAGGACCACCGACCACATAGCTTTATCTGGTGATAAAGTTTACACATACAATTCTTTAATCCCCCGCCCATTGATATTCTATGTGACAAAGATCTAAACCCACATTTATGTCTGGCATTACATGCATGGGGTGAGGGGTGAATAGCTTGGAAGAAGAGTCGTAAGCCATGACAGTATGTCCCATTCCTGCCTTGACTAACCAGCGGAGAGGCATCTTGTTGTGAAAATGTCTTGACTGTAAAAGCACGATATGGAAGAGTCGCTCTCAAAACCTTTTAATGTGTCATAATGGTTATACTTTGAATCAGGACACGGTCACCTTTGTTATGATCTTAAAAGTTTTTTATGTAGTTTATATAGGTACATTTTTCTTATGCTTTAATATACCTTCCTTGCAAAATATCTATAAACACATGATGAAGTTTTAAATTGTTGATGTTGGAATGAAGTGACAGTCTCTGTTGAAGGATATTTTAAGATTTGTCGCACACTGTCATGAAAGATGACTTTTCAACGTGTGTTCAGCTGGAATACTATTAGACCACATCAACCGAGTTGTTCATTTAAACTTCGTGTGAGTTTATTGTATAAACCTTTAAAGGATCAAAGCGTCCTAATCGTAA